ATGCCCACCGTATGCTCCATAACAAGGCAGCGCAGGATGGTGACTTGCGCGTGAATTAGTTTTAAGTGTAATTAGACTTGCGAGGCATCTACCTCACTCTCTCTTCCCTCACCGACCTGCGCCCGATGTCGGGATTGGGCGCAGGTGGCTGGCGCGACCGAAGCCGCCCCTATTTGTGCCACCACGCCCCCCCCATATTCGACATGTGTTATGGGAGGGCAACCCGAATAACACCTGCCGTACCGTGATCTGACCTCCGTGTTGGTCCAACGCATTTACTGCGCAGCCCGTTTATGGCGCAAAGCATACCACGAAATACCACAGTTCTATCTTTTTCCACGAGGCCTTTAGTATACCTCCGTTCACACAACTTACCTCAAATAATAAACGAAGGTTACCTATGCGACTAAAACCTCAACTACTGTGGTGCGTGATGTGCGGTCCCCAGATTGTAGGTGTTTGTTTACGTTTGGAGCAATAGGATGGTAGAACTTTGATTTTTAAACTGGCTTCTGCTTGTCTTTACATTCGTTTTGGCTTATCCTTTGCAGGAAAAATTAGAAGTTATTTACCATCTTTTTGGTCCCTTCGTTCTGCTTAAGGGGCGGGAACTTTTTCGTTTACTGTTGATTTTGTAAAAACGGGTCCATTTTTTTCGCACAGAGGATCTCGTTTAAAACCACTAAACTGAGTTTGACCGTTGCGCTTTTTGATATTGTTTTGTGTCTATCTTGACCGTCTAGTGCTTTTCATATTATCTCTTGGTAACGCTGACCGGAGGCAGGTTCCGGATTATGTTAGACATTTTTGATTTTGCTTGGACCTAAACGAGCCAATAATTTGTGACTGACTTTTATTTTTGAATTAGAAGATATGCAACACAAACCCTTACTCTGGTTGACTCGATTGTATGTGCTTGAGTGCTCTTAGTTCAGGACAAACTGCTGACCGAACGTATTTTACGTACAACCTAATCATAGCTAAGAATTTTGGCTGATAATGAATGCTTGTGCGACCCCCCTAGCGGACACGATCGATGCGGGAACGGTTGCAATGGACGGTAAGGTCGGAAAAGAACGATAACGCGTTGGCAATAAAAAGACATGTAGATGCCCACCGTCATCGTTCAAGTGAGTTGGTTTTTTAGCACTGAATAAGGCCGTTTTAAACGCCTACCTATACGCCAGCCTAACTCTAACGTTATCCCTAATCCTTTACAGTGTGTTCGATAGTTAGCATTCGTTGTCAGATTAGCAAAGTCGTACAAAGATTCTTTGCTTTTTAACCTTTTAGATAGTTGGGTATTCG